GTCAACTCCTGGACGTCAGCGACCGCAAGGGAAGTGAGGAGATTCATGACGATGATGGCCATGAGGGCCACGAAGAGAAGGTAAATGATGTGCCCCGACCACCGAAGCACTCGGTTGGACTCGTAAAAGGTGGCGTAGAACTCCAGCTCCCCCGACATCATCACGGCAGCCCGGTAGATGGAGCTCGGGACGTCGACGAACTTCCCAGGGAATAAAATGTGGAAGCTGAGTCCGAACCCGGCCAAGAGGAAGATGAAAGTCGGCACGACCCTCAAGAAGGACCTCGAGACGTTGATCAGCATGGTGATGTACAGACCCTGCCCGGGAAGCTTCCCGACGAGGATGGTCACCTCCACCCAGACGAGAAACACGACGACCGCGCTGATGTGGTCGTCCAAATCTCGATCAAAGTAACGGATGTCGAATTTACTGAACACCATCAACATGTCCAGAACGAGCAACACGACCTCTATTACGTTCTCCAGGTCTTTGAAATACTCCCACTTCTGTGCCATCATCTGAATCAGTTCACGGAATCCGATGACCACGGTTAGCGCAATCAGAGTGATCAGTAAGACATCAGTCATCGGTTTGAGTTTTGGATCATTCGGTTTGAGCGCGTCACAATTCCCGTGGTCCCAGTCCCTTGCTTGCATTCATCGAATTCCCTTAGACTCTCGTAGTTGGACTTCGTAACGGCCGGAGTACGGAGTACGGCATAAAACATGTAACCCACTAAATTCATGTAAAAGAAAAATCTAAGTTTTTCCCACTTCTTTTGAAGGAAACGGGCACAGACTGGATGAACAAGTAAATCTGAAGCCCCCACTTTCATAAATTCTCGGAACACCTCCATCTCTTGAAAGCTTTTCACACTTTTCCCGATCCCTCGGAACTGGAAAAGATCGAATTCGATCACTTTTTCCCCTCCACTGGGTTTAGTCTCCCTCATGGTCCGATCCAGCAGCCTCGCCGTGAGACCGGGAAATCTCGCGGCGAGTGCGAGCGTGCTGTCGAGATGCGTCAGCCTCGCCCCGAATCGCGTCAGGTGCCGGACGGACTCCTCCATCTTGGACCGACGGCGCACGTAGCGTCCGCACATCATCAACCGCAGGAGGCGCAACCCCAGGCGAGGCACGACCTCCTCCACCTCCTGCTGGAGGCTGGGCGGAAGCGGGCTCGCCGTCCGGTCCACGTCGCGGCAGATGCCTCGGATGTCCCGCTCGTTCACTCCGATCCCCCGACGTATCAACTCCTTTCATGGGATTAGTTTCATAGATGCAATATGTTGGGTTCCTAGCTTAATTTGAAAATTGCGTTTTAAAAGGAATGAAGAGGTCTTTCAATTTATCTCGACTTTTAGTATAATTACGTTTTCTTTCACTTAGAGGCTCTTCACCTAATTTTGAATTTCCTTCAATAAATGCTTTGGATAGTCCACATACGTCAACGCGCATTAGACTTTCTTCCATATATTTATGAATTTCAAGCTATTTCGAATGAAGAATAAAAATGTTATAGGTTTGACCTCTTAATTTGTAATCACTTACAGGAACTTTATCATTAATTATTTTTTCTTCAATATTTAGCTTATCCCTCAGCGAATCCCCTCCTTTCAAAATGTTATGATTCCATACCTTGACGGTCAAAATGCATTGGTGGCCGCTGCTGACAGCCACGTGCAAAGCCGTCTCCCTCCTGTTATTCACCGCGTGGATGCACGCCCCGGCATCCAAGAGAATCTGGACCGGTTTGGGCCAGCCCAAAGCAGCTGCTCCGTGCAACGGCCTCTCCTTGTACCTGGAGACGGGCATACATCTGTTCTTAGGTTTGCCAGGGGGGAAGAGGAATTTCGGAGAGACCAAAATTAATATTTTTTTTTATCATTTTTCAGTAACGGGAATTCCGACGTCTTCTTATCGTTCTTTCATGGACTGGATACCCGGTTTTGGCCAGAGGTTCGCCTAAGGAGTAAATGAGAAGGACGTCGTTCATGCGACATGTAAATACTTTCATGAAGCACTTGAATGCTTCTCTGAATGCTTCAGTCCATTCCTTTGATTCCTTTTTGCAATCCAACACTTATAAGTACTGTATAATGTGCCTTTAATCTCTTGCTGAATATGCAGGGTGATTCAGAAGTCGCATCCCTCACCAAATGTGACTTTGTATGTGACAAATAAATATTTCCGGTAGTTTTAGATGTGGCAACAATGATCTCAGTGCAAATACCCGTGATTTTATGCGCATGGCTTTGAGTGGCTGTAGTCCAACTTATTGTTGAATTGACTGTGAAACTGGAAATACGACTTCTTCATCGCCACAACGTGTTCTTATTCTCTACCATTATTTCAAGCTAAATCTCACCTAGCATGTCAGGTACGTAAATTCGTTCGCAAGGACCTGTGTGTTCTTGGTTTATTTAGTCGCTATCGACCCGAGTAAGTCGCAAAGGTACTCTGCCCGTCTAAGTTACTGCTCTTCGCATGAGCGAACAATTATTTACAATTCCCCTCGCATTTGATGAGCGTGTTGCGTGACTTCTGCATCACACTGCATAAAACCCACACCTGTTCATTGCGTTGACGTCGGCGCCAGCCCGTATGAGCAATATCATGCTTGCTTCTATACCGAAAAGAGCAGCAGCATGAAGGGCCGTGTTCCCCTTGGAGTCGGTTGCATCCACGACTGCACCGCTCTCGAGCAACACCTTTCGAGAAATCAATGCCATCGTATTATGCTATGCGAAGTGAGCACCGCCTGGTACATTATATAAAGTCAAGCGAGGTGATATAAATAATAAATGAACAGAGGAGAGAAGTAACGGTATTATAAGAGAAAGGAGAAGCATTTATTAACAAGTTTAATTTTAAAAAAGAAATCCGCCAGGGTAAGAAGTTTCCACGAATCGAAATATGGATATGACGGGGATTAAACACCTGAATCTTTTGAATTTCCTGTAGAGAGGCTGCATACATGAGGAGGGTGTTCCTGCCCCCCTTCGATCTCACGTTTGGATCGAGTCCAAGGGCAAGTCTTTTTCTCAGTTCCTCCACATTCAGCTCCGTCAATGGCTTGAACTCGGGGAGGCTCAAGTCCTTGTCCGATCCAGCTGACGTCACACGATCCGGTTTCTCGCATTCCGTTCTGTAGCTGGAAGTGATCTCGCCTATGAGGTCAATATTGTCCTTGAGGTCAATGTTTTCCTCGATGTCAATACTTTCC